CAGTGTATAAAAAAAGTGCAACAAGTCAAGTAGATATTTTGTAACAAAAAATAAAAAATAATACTAAGAAAAAAAATTAGGACTTAGACTGAATGTATTTCAGTATATAATCTTATTGTCTTCATTGCTTTATTAAACTGATATTGCTATTATGTATTGTTTTTGAACATTCTTAAATGCAATTTTCAATGAATAAATAAATAAATTTATTAAAGAAAAAGTTGTTATTTTCATGATATAAAAGAGTAAATCTATCATAATTCAAAATCTAGAAGTGACAAGTAATTTTCAACATGAATTTCAGATTCAGTATCGTCAAATTACTTAGAAAAAGTTGCATTTATTTTGGTAACAGAGAAATTTTTTTGTTGCCCAGTGTTATTTAGATGTATGCGTATGACATGATAGATTATTTTATATTTAGGGGTTGTATTTTGTACTCATGTTTTAAACATACAACTTGATAAACAAATCAATCTTCTGTCGAAGGTACCAATACTACATATCAGGATTAATGTGTACTCAAAATTCCTTAAAATAATGAAATCAATGGGACAAACAACTATTTAAGTCATCCATATAAAGAAACTGAACACTATTGTTCATTTTTTATTTTTAAAGACAGAGATAAAAAATATAATTTAGTGATAATCATAATGTTTCGAAGATAAACTTTTATAATTGATTTTTTTAAAACAAGTTGAATCACAACTTTCTTGGAAGTTAACAAATGTTCCTATTATCTTGCTTTTGTTTATAATGTCACAGCAATACAATTTCCCTGCCAATAAGTATTCAAGTGTAATATAATAATATTACAATTGCATGTCACAATAAATATCGTTGGCCTTAGAAAAGCCATGGATCTTTTGAATTTTATTTAAAACCACTGAAAAATTTCATGATTACTCTGTACATTGTGGAATAATAAAAATGTTGTATAAAATAGACAGAACAAGAGCAAAACAAAACAAAAAAAGAATTCTAAAACCATTATAATTAAGTATATATATATAAATTACTTGGTTTAAGAGTTCCAGGAAGTTAGTGACTCTGGTGGTGGAATTGGGTTTAAAATATGATTTGTTCGGAAGTTACACAGTATTAAATAATATTATGTTATAACCCATATTGACATATTTGTAATTGTAGCGGTTTAAACAAAGTGGAAAGTTGGAGAAAAGGAAAGATTTAAAAAAAAAGATTGTTTTTTGAAACAGTTAAAGGTGAAACAATTGTTTATTGGATTTTAAATTCAGGAATAATTTTTTACTATACTCATAGATAATGTTACTTTGTTAGGCCTAGTGACGGTATTACTATTAGTGTATAATAATATTTATATATACACCTGAGACTGTAAAAGTGATAAGTGTCATGGTAAAATGTATAATGTAAATAACGAAAAATATCAGTATGTGTGTGGATGCCTTCGTTTATTATTATTATTGTGTCGTAATTTTTTGCATTATTACTGTTTGAGTGTTTCATACTCAGACATTGGTGTGCTGATACTGATTGATTCTAAGTTGAGCTTAACTGGCCTTAAATACTGAAATGATCTGACTCTTAGTCTTCAGTGAGACTGAACAAAACTATTCTGTAATTGTAGTTTAACTTTAAGACTCGTATATTTGGAAATTCACTTTAAAATTTTTCATTGCAAGTTTTCAACTCTCTTACTAGAGCCTTTTTTGTTTTGTGCAAGTAAGCTCCAGTAAGATGGTAAAGAGCTCACAGTAAACTTAAAAACAAAGAGTGTAGTGATCTCCATCTAATTTATCTGATTAAAGCTGTTCTGTACTGATGTCACTGTCATTAAATGTAAAACTAAAAGGTATGAAATCATTGATATTATAAATTGTTAATTAAGCTTATTGTTCAATATACTATATAGTAAAGGATAAATGTGATATTTGTCTTTCCAAAATGTTTATAATGTTATGTTATTATAAGTATATATTTTAATTATAGTATATATCTTGTTTTCTTGGCCTATTTATATTTACTTTTGATGGTTTTAATTTGTAAATTTCAGAACCATTATTTGTTCTTACAATGTTGATAAATAATCAAGTAAGCTCTTATTTTGAAAACTGCAAATTTCATTCAGTTAAACAGTTTAAAAAGTAGTATACTTATCTATGATAAATATAAGTTTATGTAATAATAATTTGATTATTTAACTATTAAGTCTGTAAACATAATTTTAAAATTTGACTGTAAGGTCTTACATGAGTAGTTAACATACATTTTACAGCCAAACTAATTGTTTAAAATTTACCACTTGTCACTTCTGTCTTGGTAAAAAAGTATTTCACATTCTTTTATTATTTTTACAGACTGCAAACTTAGTGTTTCACCATTTCATATTCTGCTAAGAAATAACATCTAGTTATTACTTGTTTCTTTGCTACATTTAATTTACAAATTTTAGGGGTATTCTTTTTGAGCATCTAACATTTCATGCATGTAATTTGCTGACAACTTAGAAGGGTGCACAATATTTTTTCATGCACAGTCTGTCAAATTTCAAATGATAAATTTTAAGAACTTTGAAATGACATATAAGTTGAAAGACTTACAGAACTATAGGGAGGTTAAGGATTTGATTTGAAAAGAAATTGGGAAGTCCAAATCTGCTTATGAGAAACAGCTGGATGATAATGTTAAAACTAACAGCAAGGATTTTTTTGTCAGTGTTTTCAATGTAAGCATAATGTTAAAATGAAAATTTGGCCCTTAAAGAATTTTTATTGAAGACTACGAGATGGATAAGTTTTATAAAGTTCTCTTTTTACAAGAGAATATATTAGCAATGATCTTGACCTTGAGTATTCTATGGGAAATATTGGAATTGACTCAAATCATGTAGATATTAATTTCTTTGTAGTAAGTAGAAAGTTTGAGAGATTAAAATTAGATAAAGCACCAAGACTGGACAATGTTTTATCGGGGTTTTAAAGAAAATTGAAGATCAGATATTTGAGCCTCTCTTTAATTTTTGGCAGGTGTTTAAGGATTGGAAAATTCCAAAATTTATTACTATCTTTTTGAAGAAACTTTAAAAATAATTTAGTGAAATATGAAATAGAAAGAAGCCAGCATAAATTCATCGAAGGGAAATCTTGCCTTACTAATCTTTTTTTTTTAAGGATGTTACTTTTTATGTAGATGATGGAAAGAATAGACATGGAGTTCTTACATTATCAAAAAGGTTTTGATAAGCTAAGAAAATCACATCAGTAGTAGTTGGGAAAAGTTAATTGGATTGGAGAAAGCAAAAGGCTTTTATTAATGGAGACTAGTCAATTGGAACCATTGTTACGAATGGAATGCCTTAGACATCAGTGTTTTAGCTTATGCTTTGTTTTATATACAGTATTGATGTTGATAGGTGCATAATTAATAAATTAGTAATATTTGATGATGACATTAAACTCTTGAGTATTTTTAATTATTGTAAGTGCAAGGTAATGCAATTAAGATACCATAATTTGAATTGTACATGTAATATAGGTAGAATCCACCCAATAGAATAACCAAAAAAAAAGCACATTGGTAGATATATCACTGAAGTAATCAAAGCAGTGTTCTGTTGTTAGTAGTAAAGCTAATATACTTTTATGGTATATTTATAGACATTGATTAGAAAAAAATCTCTGTACAAGCCACAATGACAAATTATACAGTGTAAGCTTCATATTTTTTTGAATAAAATTTATAAATTAATAATTGAGTTGAATCTGGAACTTGTTAGAATTAGACAAAATTAGTCTATTTTAGTGCTAAATACCATTTTATTTTGTATTTCTAAACTTTGCATATATTTGGATATGAGTAATTGTTATAAAAGTGTTCTTGTTTTCACTACTATAAATAAAATATATTTGTTTGAGTATAGAAATGTAAATATTTTACTAATATAAATTGTTTGTTGTGTGATACTCTGAGCTTAAAGTATTAAGTTACACATCTCTGTTGAAACTTGAGGGTAATAAATGTTCTGCAAGTTGTTATTGCTGTATCTTTTATAAAATATATTTCTATTTCAGGCACGTTGTGTTGAATGAAGATCTGTGGCTTCCACTGAATTTATGTTATATTCTGCCATGAAACGCAAACTGAAGTAGATACAATAGAAAATGTGTAAGTAGTTGGAATATTATATGTTTGGCATATGAAAATTTACTTGGTTTTTCTTTTAATGTAGGTTCAAGTGTGTTTTGGGTATTCTAGGAAATCCTATGGATGATACTTTCTGAAATGTTTTCTTTTGACAACGTTTTGGTCTGTATGCTGAAGTATTTTGATGTCAAAGAGTCTAGGGTAGTGTGATTTCTATGAACAGGTGATTGGAATATGGTCATTATTAGTTATGTAATGCAGTCCTAGGAGAGATTTGTGTTTGTTTGGTTCTTTCCTATTGGTTATTTAGCATAGTCCTTATTGTGAGCTTGGTTATAATTTTTGTGTATTTTATCTCATGATGTGTCCATTAAAAATAACTAATCAAATGCAGATCTGGGAGGTCCACATTACAATTACCTCTTTATGGAAATCATACTATCCCCAGACACTGTAATATGAAGAGGGCCTCAGTGTTGAGAGTGAAACAAGAAAACATGTTGGGGTAGTTTCCCATCTATAGGAGATTTCTAAGGGTTCCACAACTTGCTGATTTCCACATCTTTGGTTGTGTTGCCTTGGGTTTGGATATGAATTGATTCATTGATTTTCTATGTTTTTTTTATATTAAGTTGTGTCTATAATTTGTACTTTATCTATTCCCTTCATAAAACTGTTCTCAAGAATGAGGCACTTTATAGATCAGATGTTTGCTTCATAGTTATTTTGCTGTTTGGCTTTCATTGATAGGTTTCTTGAGTGTAGCTTCTGTTTTGAACAGGAATTAAATGTTGAATTTTTGGCAGGAATTCCCAATTTTATAGCTTAATTTTGGGATATATTGTAAACTGATAATGGCAGTCATGGGTTTTTTGCTGGCTGTGTGAAATAATTTTGCATTTTAGTGACTGGACTATGAAGTTTTGTGGGTAACAACTAGATTTTTAGGACTTGTTGGAGGGCATATTTTCCTTGCTCTTTTGTATGAGCTGTGTTTAGTGGTAGTGTCAAAAAAAGTCTTAGTCATGTGGCAAATTTGTCTTAATTTCAATCAGCCACAAAAGTTGTTATTGTGTTTGAATTTACACTTAGCCAAACATAGTATCAACGGCTATGTTTTATACCAAAATTACTATGTATGGACAAACAGTGAAATTGTGAGAGGAGGAATACTATCAAATATGGTGGTGATTTCACTACTTTCCGAACTTGTTATTGGCCCAGTGTTATATTTGAATAAAAAAATGTAGAATTATTTATGGATCTGTAAGTGTAACAGTATATGGTTCAAAATACCATAACCCAGCCAGCAGTGGAGCCCACCTGGTTGTGATCAACACCCAAAAATACCAAGTAGAAAAGACATGATAATAGTGCAGCAGACTAGCAATAATAGCTTAAATATAGGCAGTGAAAGTGTGTTATGACTATAAATATAGCCACTGCCTACCTTTATTGGTTCTATATGATATTAGCCAAGTTACATATAATGTTGTGGTCTGAATATGTTAATTTTTCCAACATTTACTCACCTTCCTGATTTATGAAAATCTGGAGTACCCATTGCTGTCATCATCGTTTTCTGAGTGAGTGAGGTGCAGTATGAGTTATTGAAATAGATCATTCACAGTGCAGGACTGAGGCTCTGCTAATAAGTAAGAAACAAGTGAAAACTATAAGCCATTGATGCTGGTAATACCAAAAGGTTGCTTAATTTTGTGGATCAGCAGTGTAAATAAAATGCTGCAAGTAAAGATGTAATAATTATAATATTTAACATTGTAACAGAGGTACTTCCAGTGGGTCAGATAAAAGTTCAATGTGATTCAATCTGTACTGTTTACTTCTATATACAACAAATGCAGGTAATAATGGAGCAAACAGAATAGAAATAAACTTGGCTATGGCTCATCAGGGCTCTAAATTAGAGGTTATCCTGAAAGTTGTATTGATTGTCTGGAAAAAAAATGCATAGATCCTCAAAAAAGATCCAATGACGATAATATTGACGTACAAAGATCTAGTTACAAGAATTTTGATGTTTTTATATCTTGTTTATTTCCAGAAAGTACAATTAATGTTTAGTTGACAATTTTGCATCTTTATTCAACTAATTTTTGATGCTTTATTTCCTGGGAAGTTTCGTTATGTTAGAAACAATAAGCCCAAACCATGCTAATGTTACATAGTATCTTAAGGAAACAAATAGTCAGTGATCTTTAAAACTTTTTTCCAATTTTTTTACTCTAGCCAGCTTGGCTTGCCTGCCAAGTAAAGTAAAGTACAGCTTGTAGTAAGACTAGACTTGGATTTGAAACTCTCACACATACTACTATACCATTATAGTTAAAAAATGCCTTAGTATTGTACACACACACAGTGCTGATGTGTATTGTTGTTCATACTCATAGTTTCTATTAACCTGAAGAGAGGCAAAGCTAGTCTGATTTTATTTATTGATATTCTGTTTCATACTGCTAAAAAAAATTTCATAATTTTGTTTTTTAGTTACCATTATTATGTTCTGTTTAATTTGTGGATTTTCCTGCTTTTCACATGATAACTAGGCCTTCTGTATTTCCTAGACTTCATTGGTTGTGTTTAACGTTAGTCTTAGGCCTATACATGGGTAATCAAAAGGGGTCAGTGTTTCAACTGTGATGATTAACAATGAAAATTTTTAGTTTGATTTTGTTAGTTGATCGTTTTAGTTCCTACCAAAGGTTTATCAATAAGACTTTGAGATAGCCATGTTAGTTCTATTGTTGTAAGCATTTATACTAGAAACTAGTCCCACTAAATATTAGTTTTATTGGTATTCCTTTTCATTGCAAATTCCCTCGTGCCCATATACTGTACTGTGTTACCACACATAGCCATTCATGCTCATTTGTACTCCATACAAAGTTTAAGTGCATAAAGCAGCAGAGGCACAGCTTGTCCACAATAGAAAGTTTAGTGACTAAAACAGCATTATTAACCAATCACAAAAGCAAACCTTTTTAATGTTTTTAGCCCCTTTTGGTGGATTGTACAAACATTTCTCTTTTTACAAAATACAATCTTTTTTAAACAACCAAGAAAAAAATGGAACAAAATATATTTTTTTGGGGATTCGAGTGTTCAAGTTTGTAATTAGAGAATTTACTGATGATTTTGATCGAGAATCAAAGTCAACATTACATGTGTAGTGTTGGTACGTATAAGTGTATAGTAAACTGTGATGCTGTTTTGAGTAAGGGTCTGTTCCAAGGCACTAGTCATCCATTGGACAACACAGGGATATAAATTGATCATCCAAGGAAATCTTTAGTTGCCTCTGACAATCGTTAAAATTGAAACCTGCTCCGTGAAGGTTAGATTACCACCTTATAGAGTAACAGCTTTTTCTACACACCACTTTATGACATTAATCACAATTGGTGAAGTGGCAAGTATCGAGGGCTAACATGGAGAGGCTCCTTATTATTCTGTTTTTCTGCTTGTGGATGAGTTAACTTCCTGATTTTACAACTTATTTCTGGAGTGTATGGTAAACTGACAGTGACAGTCACAGGTTTTTTTCTTTTCACCAATCCTAAGTGATATGTTCAGAAAACACTTAAAATCAATAGTCCTAACATCTAATTTTTTAAAACCTACACCAAGGAAGAGATAGGAATATGATATATTTATTATTTCACCATATGGTTAGGACACCATACCAAAATTCCTAGAACACATTAATTTTATGAACAAAATTATCCAGTTCACATTTCAAATAAAAAACATTGCCTTTCCTGGATGTACTACAGACCAGATAAGACCACCATCTTACTATAAATATAAACAGAAAACCAACCTACAAAAATATATACCTGGACTTCAATATCTGCCACAAATTCAGCATTCAAGTCTTCTTCAAAACAGAACTCATGAAAGCCAAACAACTATAAGAAACTACAAAAGAAACTTGTGAACTGTTCTTTGTTGGAGAAATAGGCAGAACCATTGGACAAATACCAAAGAAACACATGAATGCAATGAAAATCTTATAGAAATATTTGCCATATCCAGGCTTATAAAATTGGACACGTTATACAGGGGGACAAAGTACAAATTTTAAACATAACTAAATATGAAAAATATAAAAGAAGCCGTTCATGTCCAAACACACAAAAACAACCTTCAACGGCGATCATGATCTGGAAATTGGCAGATTGTGGGATTCTTTGCTCAAGAAAATTATAAATAAGCCATCAACCAGACCATGCTACATAACCAATAAGGGAAACCTAATAAAACATAGCTCTCTGCGAGGACCATGTTCCAATCGCAAAGGTCATACTATCTAGGTTTTCATTGCAATTTGCAAAACAACCCCAGTTGTGAATCACTTTGACTTAAAGAAGGCCTCAGCATAAAGACTGAAGCATCATCTAAAGAAAATAAAACATTCCAAAGCATAGAAATAACATGTAAAATGGTAGTTAGCTATAGAAAAATATCAAACAATAATAAGCTGAAAGAAACTTGCTTTTAAGCAATGATATACAAAACAAGTAAAACGACTGATCTGGAACAGTTTCTCAAAAATGGGAGCTGCGGCCTGTGTGTGGGGGCTGTAAAGCTTTTTCTGGGAGACTGCCAAAAATAGCCTGAAAACAAAGATACTGAGTTAATTTTAATTCTGAATAAACAATAAGCCAATTGAAAAAAAAGTTATGTTGAATTAATTAATGATATAGTATGTTGAAAGGAGGTGTTACTGTTTTTACTGTGGCATTGTTTTTCAACCACCATGCTAAAGTAGTGTGTGTGGGAAGGACCAACCATGAGAGTCAGTTGCGAGACTCGAGAGAGTGCTGACTGACTTTTATAGGTTTAGGGGGGCCTCAAAATTTTTTATTCACATAATGTGAGTCTCAGACTAAAAGAGTTGGGAACCACTGTTCTAAAAAGCATGCAAACATATAGTTAACTATGGAGAGCAAGCAAAATTATGAAATAGCAGTGGGAAAAATACCAAATTTTTTTAAAAA